TTCTAAGACATGTAAAGTCCACCAACACTCATTGGGGCAGCACATCCATGGTAAGAATTTCACATTGACCGCGCCTTTATGTCATACCATTAAGGGTTAGCCGAATTCAAAAAAGGAACGACTTTCTCAGTTCAGCTTTACGTTTATGTACGTATGTTTCACGATATGATTGCAATTATGAAGCGATTTTGAAAGTTCTTTTTCTATTATTTTTGTTTTTTTTTGGTTTTTTTTTAAACGTTACCTCCCCACTAGGGTTTTCTTCTGTATTCTGTATTTACGGGCAGTTTACAAACATAAATTTCACAAGGACAAACATCCAGACCCGGAACAATTATTTGTAGGCCATACAAATACTTGTTCCGTGCGGGATTCAAATACGCGGCTGTTGGTGTTGCAACTTATTGTTAAGCCACTGCGCCACGGAGCCGTCACATTAAGTCATTTATGTTTTAACTATCTATTCTATTCTATTCTACTCTTATTGTACCTGCCATTAAATTTTTAGTGTAACAATTTATATGATATTCTAGTGGATGTGTCTCTTTTGTTGGTAATGCATTTGGAATATTTTCATTTTAGAGAAATAACAAACAGTTTGTGTAATTTTATTTGATATTCAACTTTTTTATCTAAATATATAGTGATATGATATATTGATGAACTGAAATAATCTTTTTTTTTATTAATCAACAAATGCTGATCCAATCCATAATATAATGTTCTTTGATATAAACCAAGAAATTACGAAACATCAGCATGTCTAGTAAATTACATGCTTAATATTAGTAAGCTAATTAGGAACACATGCCACATGTCATTTATATTCAGTGAATGGTACTCTTCATAAAATATTTGCTTTAAATGGTAAATAATCAAATCATCATCATATTATAATATGATTTGATGAATTATGTGTACAACTGTTCAGTGATGTCTCAGTGACCGCGAGGGTGAAAACCGGCAGCGATCACCGAATGGTTAGAGGCACACTGAACCTAAACGTTAAGTTGGAGAGGTCTCGTCTAATGAAGTCAACGCTCCGTCCCCCTCGTGCTCTAATCCAAAGTCCCGAAACCTTTCAGCTCGAGTTACAAAACCGTTTTCAGTGCCTAGAAGACTGCAATGAAGTGGACGATTTGAATGACAAGCTCGTGCAAACTGTCCATGCGGTCGGAGCTAAGTTCTGCAAGACCCGCCGCAGAAGAACACAAAAACTCTCCGATCACACTCTTAATCTCATGGCTGTTAGACGGGAGATGAAGCTACATTCTTCAACAGATTTAACAGCATACAGGCAACTGAACAGACAGATCTCCAAATGCATGCGGCGGGACTTCGCAAATTCAATACAGCTCGTATTGAAGAAGCGATCGAGCGGAACCGAGGCTCCAAAGTCTTTGCCAGAGATCTGTCTGCCAGAAAGCGCACACTGTCAAAGCTGAAGACAGAATGTGGCAGCATCGTTTCCGGGGCACCTGAGATTTTGAGTGAGATTGAGAGGTTCTATGGGCAGCTGTACACGTCATCGTTGGAGCCGCACGCAAGTGTGAGTAACGATCCAAGAGCAAGTCTCATCCGACACTATTCCGAAGATATCCCGGACGTCAGTCTGAGCGAGATTAGAATGGCTCTCCAGCACCTTAAAAACGGCAAGGCCCCAGGCGAGGATGGAATTACAGCGGAGCTTCTGAAAGCGGGTGGAAAACCGGTACTTGAAGTCCTTCAGAAGCTCTTTAATTCCGTCCTCCATGGTGGCATTACACCGGAGGCGTGGAGCAGAAGTGCGGTGGTCTTGTTCTTCAAGAAAGGCGACAACGCTCTCTTGAAGAACTACAGACCGATTTCCCTTCTGAGCCGCGTCTACGTGCTGTTTTCGAGAGTCATTACGAATCGTCTCGCGCGCAGACTTGACGACTTCCAGCCTCCCGAACAAGCCGGTTTCCGAAAAGGATTTAGCACCATAGACCACATACATACCCTTCGGCAAATTGTACAGAAGTCCGAGGAGTACAATTTGCCACTATGTCTGGCGTATGTGGACTATGAGAAAGCCTTTGATTCTGTCGAAATTTGGGCGGTGCTGCAGTCCCTTCAGCGATGCCAAGTTGACTGTCGGTATATCGAAGTGTTGAAGTGCTTGTACAGTAGGGCTACGATGGCTATCCGAGTACAGAACCAGAGTACGAAACCTATCCAATTGCAGAGAGGTGTAAGACAGGGTGACGTCATATCCCCGAAACTCTTTACCGCTGCATTGGAACATGTTTTCAAGCTTCTGGACTGGAAAGGATACGGTATCAACATCAATGGCGAGTACATCACTCACCTTCGATTTGCCGACGATATAGTCCTTATGGCAGAATCGCTGGAGGACCTAAGAACTATGCTCAATGACCTCAATAGTGTTTCCCAACGGATAGGTCTTAAGATGAACATGGACAAAACAAAGATCATGTTTAATGTCCATGTCACACCTATGCCGGTAGTTGTTGGGAACACTAAGCTCGAAGTTGTTGACGAGTATGTTTACCTGGGACAAATAGTCCGACTAGGTAAGTCCAACTTCGACCGAGAGGTCAATCGACGGATTCAACTCGGTTGGGCAGCGTTCGGGAAATTACGGCACATCTTCTCGTCAGGTATACCTCAAAACTTGAAAACGAGACTGTACACCCAGTGCGTGTTGCCAGTGATGACATACGGAACTGAGACGTGGTCCTTCACTGCTGGCCGGATGAGGAAGCTCAAGGTCGCTCAGCGAGCTATGGAGAGGGCTATGCTCGGAGTTTCTCTGCGTGATAAACTCAGAAATGAGGATATCCGCAGTAGAACTAGAGTGACCGACATAGCCCAACGGATCAGTAAGCTGAAGTGGCAATGGGCCGGCCATATAGCTCGAAGAACCGACAACCGATGGGGAAGAAAGGTTCTCGAGTGGCAGCCTCGTACCGGCAGGCGAAGTGTAGGGCGTCCCCCCACTAGATGGAGTGACGACCTGGTAAGATATGCAGGAAGTCGATGGATGCAGGTGGCTCAGGACCGTGCTTTGTGGCATTCTTTGGGGGAGGCCTATGTTCAGCAGTGGACTTGTGAAGGGCTGTAATGATGATGATGATGATGAATTATGTTTATATTATGAAACAGAATGAAAGTATATAAAACGTTGATGTCTGTTTTATAACACGTATTGTGTATTATATAACATAAAGGTACTAAACCAAATTTTTCAAAAATTAGATTTTAATGAAATCTGGTTGCTTCGTATACAATTCAAATTTGCTTCAATTCTTATGTTTTAATTTCTTTTCAATGATCCAAATTGTCCACTCCCCCCCTATTCCTACAACTACAGTAAACAGATAAGCACGTTTCGCCGTCTAAAAATACAACTATTTTGAGTTTTAAATCGTCATTTTATGTTTAATGCCAATTTTCTCTTTGCTTAATGTAAGTTTAAATTTCTTAAAATAAACCTTATGACACTTTATGTTTAGTGCCAGTGTTTCATTAGTGTTGTTTGAATATGTTATCTAACGAAATATTTTTTCTTATTTTTTACATTGCACATTGCTATTGTAACACACAAAACGAAATCATAAAAAATAATAGTAACAAAATGATTGGTGCTAGCAATCACGCACATAGAGAGCACATTGTAGTATGCATCAATATTACGCCGACCTAGAGTGAACGTGTCACTGACCTCTATATAGAGGTCAGTAGAACGCGTAGATTTTGACTAATTTGTTTATTATTTTATTTCAATTACTTATTATATTGTTTATTCGAATGCACGCTCTTATGCACAGTGTTCTGGCCTCACGTCCCGTCACGTCATGTCAAGACAGGACGTTAAACAGGTCATCGATTTTCGTGCAGGGTGCTACTAAAGTAAAAGCATCAACAAACTGTCCTTAAAATGGCAAGAATATGTTATTTAGTTTATGTTTAGCAAATATTTTGATTTCATTTAAAAAAATTCTTGTTTACATTTTGCCAGAAGTAACAACATAGCGTTTATAGTTTGAAATAGTACAAAATATGTAAATTAATAATTCTTATTTATTATTTCAGTTCCTTTGACATGGTTGGTAATAGAAATCTTCTTCATCTTATCTGCGGGACAAGATCCACTTCCCGGTTTAGAACTAGGGACATTACCCTTTGGGATAGTACCATTTAGTAAGTATTTCTTACAAACTCACTCGCACGCTCACTTACAATCGTGGCAGGTTGAAATCGAGGGAAAAAAACTAGTTGACGGACGCATCATTCTGACTAAATGCAGGCCTCAAATCATTCAAAAATGATGATGCTAAATCCCTCTGATGATTGAAAACAGGATTGTCAATTAAAACGTACCAGCGCTGCGCTTGCTAAACCATTAGCTTAGAATTTCATGCCTCTTCATCATCATCATCATCATCATTATTACAGCCCTACACAAGTCAACGGCTAAACATAGGCCATAATACCACAAAACACGGGCCTGAGCTTGATTTTCTGCATATCTTACCGGGTCGTATCTCCATCTTGTGGGGGTCAAACCTACACTTTTCTTACCGGTACAAAGTTGCCACCCGAGGACCTTTCTTTCCCATCAGTACTTAGAGCTATATGTCCGGCCTATTGTCACTTTACCTTACTAACACGTTCATGCCTATGGACTATATAATATTTGCTGCTTCTGGTATTAGACTATAAATTTTGTTAGATTATCCGTGACCAAAAACCGTATTTAAATGACTTGTTACTTTTTAGCTTTTTACTTCTACGTTAGGATATCTCTGTAGCCTCTTGCGACACTCGAAGGATGATATGTAGCAGTGGATTTTCTTACGCCGCCACGCCAGGAGTCCGCCTGGGTACGTTTACAAGATTACCCATAATATGTTTACCAATTTCTTCCTGGTGAATATTTTACAGATGGCCAAGAGTTCGATTACATAGTAGTTGGAGCGGGCGCAGCGGGTACAGCTGTGGCGAGTCGACTCGCAATGGCGGGAGAGGACGTGTTGTTAATAGAGGCCGGTGGAAATCCTGACATGATCACAAGGGTAAGCGTTTAGTACCAAGAGATATTACATCATCATTGTCGTCATCATTACAAACCTTCACATGTTCAAAGACGCTGTAACGGCCCCCTCCCTTCTATATATAGCAAAAGAGGGCGTCTATAAAATATGTAAAATTTACCTAACCAGCATAATAATTACATATTAATCTTTCTCAAGGAACTTCCTAAATTTAGGTTGAGTTTGTTTAGTAACTTAAATCTTTTACGTTCTCTTGAAGGAATGAATATTCACTAGAGTAATCGAAAGCTGTTGGTAGTGCCTTATAAAAATTTTAATCCAAATAACCCCGTTCACGAAGGGCACAAAAAAGGTTAAGAACATAAAACCGTCCGTATTACACTTGTATCAGGTTCACGTCAGTCAATTCCTTATAATTTTCCCGCTCGGACAAGGCTCTCAATATTTATATAAAAATACCAGATGCAAGAGCTCCACTCTCGCATATTTAAAAAAAAATATGAGGGAGGCACACGCCAGCGCCAACCAGCCACTCTCCCCGAAGAGGGACATTAAGTTGAGAACTGGACAGTAGTCCACAGCAAAATAACTGGCGTACCAGTAAAAGAGAGCTTGGCACGTTGGTAGTGCGTGAGCACAAACATCAACCAAAGTCGTGAATGTTAATGCGTATAAACGCCATACAGAATACGATCAAATCCAGCCACTGCAGAGCTCAACAAGTATCAATACGAATATCATCGGTTTACACCATCTCAAGGTCTCCCATACAATCCTAGCATACATCACCACCCGCTTACCTCCATCGACCAAAACCACAATATGCGTCGAATCAGGCGCAGCATTCCCGCAGATCCATCACAAGACGCAATACCGCAAGAAGCAGTAAGCATCAATGCAACTACCATACGGATGGCCCTCACAACACATCCGCATAATCCCTATCGACTTTGGTAACAAAATTTGTACTGTTGTTACCTAAAATAGCACCAACATATCATAGTAGCACGATACTAAGACGCCAGTAGCCAAAAACTCCACGTATCATAAGGCTATTGAACTAAGACATGAAGTTGAGTATGCTTGCTGCACTTAAAAGTACTAGCAAATACACAACCCCGTAATCCGAAAAATAGCCGACGTATCATAACGCTATGCGCTAAGACGTCGCCCAGAAACGGTAGGGGTGTGCGATGTCCACGGGCAAGTCGTATTGCTACAACAAACCCGCTTGCCACCGGCACTAAGATGATATGCCTAGACACGTCGATTAGCGAGTCGAAGTTTATCTCGGTCTCGGACACTATGACTCAATCTACACGCCCCTATAATAATCCTTTTCAAATCCTATTTCTATAACTTTTACATCTACATACTTGATACTTTCCACATATTTGCATTATTTCATAGAACTTACTATTATATGTCTTTTATATATGGGACTTCAACTCATAACTTTGCTATCATAATGCTTATGCATCGAAGAGACCTTCTATATTAAGGCTTTTGTATCACAGACCTTACTATCATAAGGCCCTAATATAGGACTATATATTGTGCAACAGTATTACAAGTATAGTATTCAGGCACCCAACCACCCCATATACATTATATACAACCTTGGGTATTCGTCTTTGGCAACTCCCTCATATAAGCAATCGTTATATGACATACAAGCAATCATTAGGTACATGAATACCCTCCAGTAATACAAGAACACGCTACATCATTACAAGAATACGCCCATTAACTTTTCCAATTATATTACAAATGTTATTTATCTTTATTATTGTAATGTAATCGACTTGCAATTTTGTTGCTTAATACGTTTTGAATATTTTAAGCAGAGTTTTAATAGATTTAAAGATTTTTAAAGGCTATACTTTGTCCAAAAAATATATATTTATGATATATTTAAATTACTTTATAGTGAATTTAATAATTATTTATTTATAATAATAATGCGCCATCACAATGCGCAGGGCATCTTTTCACTCTCACATTACATATTATCAATTTTCTAAAACTCAATTATTTAATGTTCTTTTATATTTAATGACAACAGATTCACGGCGCTACAATGGCTTTAATGGGCAGCAAACTTGACTGGTACTACAAAACCATTCCCAATAATGTATCTTGTCTCTCCTCGATCGACCAGCAGTGCCGTTTCAGTCACGGCAAATGCTTAGGTGGTTCCACGAGTATTAACTACATGATGTACGTACGAGGCAGTCGTAATGACTTCGATAGATTGAATATCACAGGCTGGACCTGGGAAGATATGAAACCATACTTTTTAAAATATGAAGGATTGGAGGACTTAGATCGTCTACCGTCATCTTCCGAGCCCTACCATAACACCGAGGGTTTAGTTCATGTTGGATTTTTCGAAGACCCGAAAAATGATTGGCATGGGAGAATTATCGGAGGTTATACAAGTTTAAGTTTTCCTTACAACGAGGATGTTAATGCGTTAAGTCAGATCGGTGTTAGTAAAATTCTAGGCTACGTGTCTGGAGGTGAGCGCGTCAGTACAGCTAGAGCATATCTGACTAGAAAGGATGTTAAGAAAAATCTAAAACTGGCTAAAAATACGTTTTGCACTGGTGTCATAATAGATCGGAATCGAGTAGCAAAGGGTGTGACAGTGCAGAACTTGGGCTTTCCATTAAGTTTGAAGGCAAGAAAAGAAGTTATTTTGTCAGCAGGGACCATTGGGACACCCCAAATATTAATGCTTTCAGGCATAGGGCCAGCTGATCATTTACGTGATTTTAACATACCTGTACGGATAAATTTGAATGTAGGAGGCGATATGAGTGATCACGTATTTCCTTTGCTTTTTATTAAAGTCGACAAAGATGTAGATAAATATTCAGCTCTATTTACTTTGACGTCTCAAGGAACAGCAGGTGTGGAATGGTTGTCGACACATAAAGGTTCCTTGGCGTCAAATGGTCTTACCGACGTAACGGTATTCGTCAACACAAAATGTTACGATTTTAACAGAAAACGGATTACCAATGATAGCGCTGGCTGTGAGTTACCAACTTTACAGTTCATACACGCGTTTATACCAAGGACACTATTGGTTATAGGTAGGCCATTCATATCACTTGGGCTGGACTTTAATAATGAAGTGTTAGATCAATTAGTTGAAACAAATAAAAAATATGCATTCATAGTAATGTCTCCAGTGGTGCTGCAACCGATGTCACGGGGAACTGTGCGTCTGGCAAGTGCCGATCCACTCGTCCCACCAGCTATAACACCAAACTATTTACAAAATCATACAGATGTAGAAGAAATGGTGCGTGCCATCAATATCGTTGAAGACCTTTTGGAAACACCACAATTTAAGCAACAGAAGGCGTCGCTTCTTCGTCTTAACTTATTCGGATGCAAAGGTTTAGATGGCAATGATTATTGGCGATGTTATTCGAGACACATGACATATTCAGTGTACCACGCAGTGGGTACAGCAGCACTGGGAAGAGTGCTGGACGAGGAATTACGTGTTATTGGTATTAAAAATTTGCGGGTAGCGGATGCATCTGCGATGTCTCACCTGCCTCGTGGAAATACTGCTGCGACTGTGATAGCTTACGGCGAAAGACTAGCTGATTTTTTATTAAAATCTAAATGAATTTATTTTGAACTTATTTAAAAAACCTTTATCACTGTCGTGTATATGTTGTATCCAACTAGCTAATTAGCCTTTCAGTGATCTAGGCCTTTTTTACCAAGGTCCACTCCAACTAGACTATAGACTATAAAATTAAAGTGACAAAGAAACTTATAGTCCTACCGTTTTCATCGGGGTCGATCAGCTGGTGATATTCTAGTCTACTTCACTCATAGATGGGCGCAGGCAGTAGATTCCAAGGCGGAGGCATTGGCCGTTAGTTTGGACATAGCGAAGGCCTTCGATCGGGTCTGGCACAAGGCGCTCCTTTCGAAGCTTCCTTCCTATGGGCTTCCCGAGAAATTGTGCAAATGGATCACCAGTTTCCTTGCTGATCGGAGCATCAAGGTGGTAGTAGACAGTGAATGCGGGGCACCCCAGTGCCAGCTCCTTCCACTTGACCGCATCCAGCACACGGTTCGAATCGTCGACGACCGAGTTCTTTCTGATTGGCTCGATACACTGGCACTGCGTAGAGATGTTGCATCTCTTTGCGTATTTTATCGCATCTATCACGGGGAGTGCTCTGAGGAATTGTTCGGACTAATTCTAGCCGCTCAATTTCACCATCGCACATTGCGACAAAACTCGCGTTACCATCCATACCATCTGGATGATTGGCGGTCCACCACTTTGCGATTTAGAAGAAGTTTTCTCCCTCGCACAACTTCCTTGTGGAATCAATTACCACCAGCGAATTTTCCGGACCGATACGACTTAGGAACCTTCAAGAAAAGAGCTTACACCTTTCTAAAAGACCGGCAACGCATCTGCAATTCCCCTGGTGTTGCGGTTGTTCATGGGCGGCAGTAGTCACTTACCATCAGGTGAACCGCATGCTAGTTTGCCCCCTATTCTATAAAAAAAGTCCTGCTGATGTTGAATGGTTACTCTGTATCCCATGGACACCTGCAGCCATCTTCATACAAAGAAGTCTGCAGATGCTTTGTCTCCCTTGAGGACTAAGGTGGAATGGTTCACAACCTGTAATTATACTGGTTCTTTATAATTTTCTGATGTGGTACGATCTTGCACTGGCAAGCACTGCCGTTTGGCGGCAGAAGCGAGTAATAGGATGGTTTCTACCCAGATAGACTCCTTAGCAGAAAAGGAGTAAAATCACTTAGTTATGTAAACTACGTAGTAACAACTAACGAAAATTAGAAAAAAAAATTAAAGTATAAGTTATTAATTAGTAAACCTTTCACAAACATAATATAGCTACAGCGTGGCTTCATCACCATGCTATCTCACTAGGATCTGGTACCGACTGGTGGTATAATCATCTAAATATTCTCGTATAAAGATTCACTCTGTACGAACATGTCTGCGTTAGTTTTGAAGATATTTTATATGTAATTCTAAAGGCTCAGATCCAATAGAAGGTTAAAAAGGTTGATAAATAAGCAGAAAGAAGGGGTTTTCTTAATGAATGAAATAAAAGCTCTTTATTTTTTGATATAAGAATTTAAAATTTAGTTTGCCAAACATCAACATTTTTTTTGTCTGTGCTTCAAACGCAATTCTTCTATCGACGGAAAAACGAACGGGAAAAGGAATTATTCCTTTTTGTTATTTTTAAATGGCGATATTACAATATTCTGTATCAAAATGAAAAGGAAAAGTCCCTATAACAAAGCATGTTCTATATTAAAATAACACAGCTAAACAAAACAAAATTAAGATCATGTGTGCTCACCCAATTCCGTGTCTCCTGAAGCAGCACCTGTTTACAAGTACATACATATGGCAGCCATCGCTCTCGTCGACCATTTTAAAGCACTCATTACACAGCACCACCTCAAAAAAAGATCTTTAAGTGAGCATTATAATTGAACTTAATAATAATTAATTGGGTATATCATTGTATAATATTAATTTTATTTGGAAATTCGTGGGGAAGACGAAATAATAATTCTATTAGAAGCGTTCTCTCTTTCCGTCATATTGTCCTCCAGACCAACCACCATTTCAATCACGGCGCCTAGTCTTAACAGATACTAACCGTCTGCGCAGTACGAGATTATAGTGCCTAAGCGTACTAAAATTAAAATTAAAATCTATTCATTTCTTTCTCGAGGCATAATAAATAATAAAGTAATTGGAGCCTCCTAGGAAGTATAAAAGAATACCTGTGCCAGGAGGCACCGCTCTTCCTAATAATATTATATAACTCTTCCTAATAGTATAATAAAAAATAATTTCTAAATAAAAAATAAAAAATAATTTCTTAAAAAAAATAGTATTATAACAGTACTTCACATGATTTTTCTTAATCTATCGCAAGTAGCAAACGTAAAGAGCAATCTTAAAGATAAGTCAATTATTCACTTCGAGCATGCATTTAATCTACTAAATACTAAGAATTTAATAGATTCTTCATATAACAATCCTTATTCTGTGGCTTAGTATCTGATAAATAAATTAAAAGACCGCTAAGTAGAAAGTACCACAATAAACTTAAATCCGCGAAAAAATCGTACTATAAATTCTGGATAACTTTAAGTGTATTGCGATGCATAAGAAATAGAAACAATATGCAAAAAAAAGAAACTAAAATCAGACTCTATTGATTAAGTACTAAAAATAACGTATAAGAGGTAAAGAAACTATTGTAACAATGTTAATAAAAACTTAAACGTAAATATAATAAAGATCAAATGACAGTCACTAGCAAAAATTCAAAAACTTTATGGAAAACAATTCATAGAGTAACACATCAAAAACAAAAGAACGCGCAAAGCTTGAGATTATTAAAAATAAAGTCTTCATCCTATCATTCAGTTAATAACTATTTCGCTTCTATTGGACAAACATTTGCTGAGAAAGTTCTTATAGATAGAATCATTGTACATAATGTAGAGGATATGTACACATTCACAAGTATCCTCTTTTGTACTTCAAGTAACGGTAAATTCTATAAATATAATTATCCATTTTAAATCCTTAAAATCTGACAGTGCTCCCGTATGGGACAGTATACCAACTAAATTTCTTCAGACAGCCTGTTATTCCAGTTATTTCACACTTAGCTAATCTGTGTTTTAGGCAGGGTGTTATATATACCGGCATTACTAAACCACGCAATTGTAACGCCTGTATTTAAGAATGGTAACAGAGAAAATAATGTAATTATAGACCAGATGTTGTTTCTGCCTTAACTACTCACATAACTAAAAACGTAGATCAAGGTAAAAAATGTCTAGCGGTCTTTCTAGACCGAAAAATAGCATTTGGTACTGTCTTTCACTCTATTCTACGCATACGCTAGAAAGCTTAGGAATAAGAGGAGTTCCACTTCCACTTTTGCTACATCCAGGGTCACAAACAGTGAGCAAAAATTAAAAAATATGTTAGTGATGTGGTTAATATAACTTATGGAGTTCCTCAAGGTAGTGTTCTTGGTCGAACGCTGTTTTTGATATATATTAATAACCTTTGTAAAATGAAACTCGATCATGGGTGCATATTTTCTTACGCAGAGGGTGTACGCATTAGTACAGAACAAGGTCTTTCTAAAATTGCTAGTTGGATGAACCTACGTCGCCTATCACTGAATACACTAAAAATATACTACTTATGTTTTGCTATTTATAAAATATTTCGACACGAAACAAACTTTCAGATATAAATTCATAACTGTAGTAATGCTAATAACTATTCATGTAGTCCAATTACAAAAGTTACAAAAACCTAGGCGTAATGGTAGAACGGGTCACTGGGCATGCACATTTAGAGTTAGTTATGAATAGAATTCGAAAGGTCATATGGATAGTCAAATCACTGAGACACATTGTGAATAGGCGCCTTTTAAATCAAATGTACAAATTACATGTACAACTTGTAATAGTGTATTGTATACCTATATGGGGTGGGGTCGCGAAAACCAAATTTCTGAAGTGGGAAAGAGTCCAAAGATCCATGCTAAAAATTATGTTTTTTAAAAGTTATAAATATCTAACAGAATATTTGTATTCGATTTGTAACAACCTAAAAGTAAGAAAATTGTACATATTGCATACAATCCTAAAATTACATACGTTACCATATGACCTAAATTTACTAAATAAAAGGAGAAAAAATATAGTTGCTCCTGTTGTTATTTTATGCTTGAGGTAAAGAGTACCGCCGTAGTATGTGGCCATCTCTCAAAGTCTGAAGATCTTTTAACTCATCTCGTAGTCGCCTCTTACGGCACCCTAGGGATAAAATTAGTAATGGATCCTCTTACTCCGTCATCACGTGACATGATCTCTTTCTGGTTTATTTATTAAGACTCGTATATAAAAATAAACAATTAAGCTTGAATACGATTGTCAACAATATAGTGACGGCCCTAAAAACCAAATAGTCTTCAAGTAATATATATATATATATATTTTAAACTCAACCACTTTATGATGTTAAAAATTAATAAAGTAAGTTCAGAGTCGTAAAATAAAATATTGTGTCTTGGCGAAACACGTGTTCTATTATCGACGGTGGTGTATCTTTCCTAGTGTAATGGTGTTTTCGATGAAGTTTCCGAGTGACTACTATATATACGTTTGTGTGTGTGTGTGTGTGTCACTGAAAACTCATAACCGATCAAATACCTACCTAGTCTTACAAATTGTCTGAGGTAGACATACTCGTCAAAAATCTCAGATATCCTTTTTATAGAATATGGATGACAAACGAGCAACAGTGCACCTAATGGTAAATGGATGCGTCTAGATTTATCCTCTATTAAAAATTAAAATGCAAATACCTTGTCAGCCCTTAGAACTAAGATCGAAAGCCTCGTTTCCAGTGAAAATGGTATTCTGTGAGAGAATGTTCATACCCCGGTCGAGCCGTTACATTCATACTGTGTCTGGGACGCCCCCCACAATCTGTTTTCAACTAGGACAGTTGGCTTTTACAGGCATTCGTGAGGGCGATAGACAGGTTATGCCAGATTTCTACTGTCTTAAACCACA